AATATATATATATATATATATATATATTGGATTAATTTTTCGAAAAGTTATTTCGATATTTAGTTTTGTTTAGATATAAAAAAGAATCCATTTTTATGTAGAATTTAGTTTTAGGTGAGAAAAAAAAATGTTTACAAATTTCCAGTGTTGGGCCAAAAGTTTACAATATGTTTTTTTTCTTTCAAGCAAGTCTTTTCCCTTCTAAAAAAAACAGTCAAAATAATAAGAATTAACCTTTTCCAAACATGATTATAGACACCTAGTTTTATTTGTGATTTTTTTTCGTAAAAATCACTTTTAGTTCTCAATGATTTTTTATTATTTTTAATCCATTAATTTTTATTTTTGAATGTTTCTAGTTCTTTTTGTCAACAAATATTGTTAAGTGATAATATTGTTACAAGGACTATTAATTTGATATGATAAGTAAATTATTGTTGATTTAAAATATCTGACGATTCTTAAGCGTTACAAAAATTTTAGTGTCGTAAAAATCGCCGGAAAGGAAAACGGATTTGAAATTTTAGAAAGAGAAAAAAATGCAATTAATTCGAGTGACACATATTTAATCCTTTATTTTTAGAGAAATTTTACTATATCCTTATATATTTAAATAATTTTGGGGTTATTTTTTTTTGTTTTTTAAATATTTGATCATTTGATTTTAGAATTGTTTGATTTTTAATATGTTTATATTTTTCATTTCAACATATATTTTCTTAAAATTCTTAATATATATACGAAATGTTTGAATTTAAAAATAATATTTTTAATATATTATCAGTCATGATAGGTGTATAGGAGTAAATTGAATAAAGAAATTATAAAATATCCCTCATATTTTACTTAATGTAGAAGAAAAAAAATGAAAGTGAAAAGAAAAAAAATCATATTTTATGTAATTTTTATTAGTTTAAAATATTGACTATGCTAAAATATTTTGATTTATAAGGTTATTATAGTAACTCCCTTCTTTTTATTTCCTTTTTTGAACAATTTAAAAACTTCATATATTATTTCATCTTTCTAGCCTTATTTTTCTATTTTTTTTATTAAAAAAAACATGGATTTTTTTATAAGAAATAAAAAAAATGAATTGAGGTAAGAAACGATAAAACAACACTACAATACTTAAGGATTAATAAGTTGAGAAAATTTTGTCTATTTAAATTTAAAAAAAAATTCAAAAATAAGAATCAATAATAATTTCTATAAACATAGAAAAAAATTTCTCTCACAAAACTTCAAAGTTCCACTTAGAAAATAAGTGAATACTTATTACAAAGTCATTATTTATTCTATTATACTATAAGCCAAAACATTAAGTCATTTACTAAAGGCTCAAACTTAAGTTAAATAAAAATCACTTCAAACAAACACATTACTAATGTGCTTACCAATGATAAGTATAATAAGTATCTAACAAAAAAAATTAATGAATAGAAAGAGATTTAATTCTAATACAAGTCGGAAAAAAAAGTCTAACAAAAGTTTAAATACAAAATAAGTCATTTTTCCAGCATTTCAACGTAAAATTTTCACACTAATCAAAGTTGAAGTGAATGTCAAACTTTTAGATATTGTCATGCTAATCCTCCGTAATTTTATATCATTTATTTGAAGGCAGTGGTCGATTTCAGCAATCATAAAGCACATAAAAGTACATATATATTAAAGTGAGTTGGAAAAAAAGATTATTGAGATTCTCATTCTCTAATGTAATATGATAACTTTTTTTTTTTATAATGTTTTGGTTGAGTGGGGCTCTAAATCTAACATGATTCTAACTGAAGACATACTTCATTGGGTTCTCATAGACGTGGGACTCAACTCAGGGACACGTGTAGTATATAGCCACATATCTCACAAAATTATTTTAATAAGAGATACTCTCTACTACACTTTTTACTTAAAATTTATTATAAAAAATATAAATTACAAAATAGAGTAATTTAACATGTAACTTTCTAATTCAATTACAAGAACTCACCGGTTGATCTACTCACTAGCGCGTTTTATAATAGAATTAAATTAATTTGATAATATTGTTGAGACCAATTCAATTGAGCCTAATTTATTATCTTTCTAGATAAACAATGTCTATATACAATTCTGTGCATGTACTGTAAATATTGCAGTATTGTTCAAAATAAAAATATAAATGCATTATTAAACGGAAGGTTCTTCACTCTTCATCATAATTATTCTATATAATCTAGGTGAGTCGAGCTTCTAGGCTCAACAAGCCGAAAAAGGCTTAGTAGAAGAAAAAATGCTTATAAAAAAATACTTACATATTATTAATTAAACAACAATCTGATAAGTTGACATAATAGTTTTGACTGTCTACAACGTTAGTTGGTGAAGTATGAAAACTTATGAGACGAGCGAGATAGTGAGAATATAGTGAGGGAGATGGTATACATAACATATATTAGCAGACAAATGAAAGGGGTTGATCTGGAAGTGGAAGGCAGAAGAAGATGTCCAAGTCTGGTGGAGCAAAGAATGCTAAGGGTGACCTACGCAGAGAGTAGTTAGAGAGCAGCAGCCTTGGCTTCTTGGGTGGTGGAGGGCACGTTGAAGGTTCTGGTATCCGAAACTTTTGCCCTTTGGGAGTGGAACACACAGCCACATCAGCACAATCCACGTTCATTTTCTTTGAGGATGGTGTCTCTTGATGCTGCTTCTTCAACTGCCTTCTTCCTCTTGTTTTCTTCTTTTTCCTAGAGGATCTTGTCCTTCCAGAAGCTACCATTTTTCTAGAGACAAAAGCTTGTATATATGTATGTAAAAAGTTTCAGAAAAAAGCTGGCAATGGCAAGAACAAGGTTGAGAGTTGAGAGTTGAGAGTTGAGGCTTAGCTAAGGCTTTACAGTTTACACTATTGGAGAGTGGTTTGAAAATGAAATGATGTGGAAACTGGAAAGAGGGTTTTGTAGGGAAGTGAGTAATGATTAGGAGTGAGATAATAATCGATCTGGTTTTGTTCTGTTTAGGTGACGCCGTAAAAGCAACTCCTTTTACTGACACAGCAGAGTGGAAGGAATCCAAGACAACATTTCTTAAAAGGGACACCAAACCTATCTCTGCTTTTCAACTGCCCACTTCGGATTCTCAAACACCTATTAATTAGTTACCACTTAAACACCCTTTTTCAAATTCTTTAGCCCTTCTCAAAGTTCACAAAACACTCACTACTCATTAGATTTTATTAAATTAATCTATTTTAGTAAAAAAATAGTTTAGTTAACATAATCAACTTTATAATATAAATTCATTATGTTCAAATTAGAAATAATATTTCTAATTTCAATTATATGTTAAAGTTAAGAATTAAACTCAAATTTTAGTCAAAGAATATAAATGTCAAATTACATAATGAGTGTATTAGTGTTTAATTATTGTTGGGAGACAATTCAAATTAAGAAGAAAAAAACTGTAAGCAACATTTAGGCTTTTTTTATAGCTTCATTTTAATCCTAGGGAAAGGAAAAGAGGGAAGGAATTGAAGCAGGGAGAGTTTTTTTTTGACAGTGGTAGGTCTTGGGGCCTGTATTATGGTTAGAATGGCAGAAAGAGGGTGAAAAAGTGGATTGTTCAAATATTCTGGCGACCTATTCGGCTTTTACTTGATTGATGTACGATGAATTCAATTTTTTGGATCATCACTAAAAGGGCCGGTGACACATAAACAATATTACAGTATTTTATTTTCGAGATTTTAATTACTTACACGCATTATTATGTGGGTTACCTCCCTCACCTGCTAGCTTCAAATTTTGAACTTCACTGTCAAAATAGGATTCAAATTTCAGTGCAACTTTCAAGTACATACACATTATTTTGTGGGACATGGAGATTTTAATTACATACGCACATTATTTTGTGCATGGCTTACCTAAGCTATCGTCATTGTCTTTTTTTTTAAGGAAGATTGTATATTAGATATAAATGACTATGTTTTGGTGCTTGGAAGTTTAAATTGAGATGAATTTATGTTGTGTTTGTTTCTAGATGTTAAAAAAGATTCTCCAAAAAAAATGCACTTAGAAATATCACATTTTTATTTTTGGTACAAATTTTGGAAAAAAAAATTCTCAGAAATATGTCAACGAATGTAAAACATGCACACTTGTTTTCCTTCTTAATTCCATGGTGAAACGTGGATATTTATATTCTCATAAGAACTAGACTTTTTTTTTCTATTTATAACTATATTTTCCCGATTCCTTCTTCTACTTTTATTTTTTGATTTTAATTAATTTTTAAAAATTACTATATATCGATCAACCAAACATGTTAATGAGAATAAATTTCTAAGTATAGTATTTCTGAAAATATAATTCTTGAATATGTAATATTATATTTTGAAACATATGTCTCCTTAGTATTTAATAAGAGAAATATTAAAAAGTACAAAATAATTGTCATATATACATATGAAAAAATTATCATTCAAATTATTTTTTTATCCTCGCTTATCTTTTTTTATATAGATAAAAAAATATTTTTAATAAAAATAATTATGTTCAAATCAAATAGCATTCATAATTTCATTAGTTTAAAAATCATTCGTTTTATTTTGTGGAAGTTATTTATATCAAAATAATATTGTCAAGAAATCAACTTGATATAATGTTTGATAAACAAAAATCAAACATTACAAATATAAATTAATATTTGAATGTCAACTTTAAAACGATTTATCGAGTATGTTGAAAAAAAATATATCATTGCTGCCCAAAAAATATCTGACAGTAATTTGAAGTTAATTAGTTTATTGATCATAGAAAATACATAAAAAAAAATATTTTTATGCAGAAATCATAGAAAAGGCAACGTTAATTTGATTTGATTTGAGTCGTTCTTTGGTTTTTATGGTCAAAAATTTTGGGCCTCAGAATATTTGTTTGGTTAAGGTTCACTTGACACACTCTTTC